TCACTTCAAAAATAAAATTTTATTTTGACATGATCAGCTCGAAAAAATTATTTTAAGGGGATTTTCTTATTCGTGTTTTTCCAGAAAATATCGTTTAGTACCTCAAAACGGTACACGAATTTTAGCATTTTGCCCACGTTACTATTCATTACCATCAAAACACTATTCACGGCCTCGGCAATGTCAAAACTTTGTTTTGACTTTTCTCTTCCATCCAGACTCCGAATCAAGTAATTTTTAAGTCTAACTTAATTAATTTTTCACTTTCTTTCCAATAGTGTGCTCGGTAGCACTAAGATCTTGCTGAAAATTACTATTTTGCCCTTAGGGCTAAACTTGTCCAGTTTTTTTTAAAAAAAATTGCTTCTGCTATGCTTTCTTATGAGTTCCGTGACTTCACGGAAAGTCATGAATGTGTCTTGGGAATGATGTATATTTCCAGGGACGTTGCTTCCATGTAAGAAAACTATTTTGGCCTTGGGGGCTTATTTGGTCTTTTTTTTATCTTTTCTTCTGCGGTTCTCGTGTAGTTTCATGGCTTCATAAAAGGTCACTTTGGTGTCCTAGGGATGTTGTATATCCCTAGAGACTTGTTTTCTATTTTCGCTTCCGTATTTCAGATCCGTTAGTAGGTCAAACTACGGTTCATCACAGGACGCACTGGCTTGAAAAACCAGGGCCGTCACAGGCAAACATAATTTGACCTTCACAACACAACTTTTTTATAACATATGTCAACAGTTTCATAAATACAGTATCACGTCTTTCACCTAACATATCCACATAAAATTTACTTCTACACTACTATAATGCTTTTTCATTCATGCAACCATTTCCTAACATGTATTATATGTTAACAGATCAAATACATCTCAAATACGGCAACTGTACACTAGATATGGAAACAATTAGTGGCAAACATAAATTCACCTTCACAGCACAACACAACTTTTCTATAACATGAGTCAACACTTTCATAAATACAACATCACATATTTTACCTAATATATGCACATATAATTGACTTCTACACTACTATAATGCATTATCATTAATGCAACTGTTTTCTAACATGTGGCATATGTTGCCAGATCAAATACATCTAACATACTTCAACTGTACACTACATATGAAAACAATTGGTACAATACATATTTTGACCTTCACATCATAACTTTCTATAACATATGTCAACACTTTCATATATACAACATCACATCTTTCAATATCCGGGATATACAAAAACTATCCTACAATTTTATTCAAACTGAAAAGTATTAACATTATTTGAACAAGGCTAAAACAGATAAATATGAACATAACATAGGCACAAGAACAAGCTTCAAAATGGTATATGCATATACAATCCTAAAATTTTATTATAACTGATGACTAATAGGGTTCATTCACAAATAAAGTTATTTGAACAAGGCTAAAATAGATAAATATGAACATATCATAGGCACAAGAACAAGCTTCAAAATCTAGTATATGCATATACAATCCTAAAATTTTATTATAACTAATGACTAATAGGGTTCATTCAGAAATGAAGTTATTTGAGAACAAGGCTAAAACAAATAAATACGAACATAAAATAGGCACAAGAACAGGCTTCCCAATTCTTTGGCTGCCTGAAAATCTGGTGTTACAGATGAATTGATGCTCATCAGGACTAATAACCCAGCCTTTAGATTTTTGGATTGCCAATAATCACCACCGGATTTGATATATCATTATGAATAAAGTTACAAGAAATTCAAAATAACAACCTAATACTTATAATGATTAGAGCTTCAGCTTCTCGCCAGACTGGATGATCGAAGCTTCAGCTTCTCACCGGAATGGATGATCGCCGGACTGGAAGATCGGACCTTCAGCTTCTCACCGGAATGGATAATCGGAACTTCAGCTTCTCGCATGGTGATTTTTTCGAACGGAGCTTCTGAGCAGTGACCTTCGCTTCAAAAATCTTTATCTTTATGTGTCTAATGTCTTGGTTGCCTTGTTTCTCGGTTTCCATTTCCCTTGGATTTCAGTTTGGATGTTTGAGAAGAGAGTTCTCAGTTTCCCTTTAGAGAGAGATATTTCAGAATTTGTATATATATATATATGTATATATATATATCAGTTTTGGGGGCAAGCTTAATTTTTGTTTTAAGGGGTATTTTAAAATGAAAATGGAATACAAGTACAGAGTATTGACAAGTATGGATAGAGTATAAACAATTATGTACAGTTGGAAAAGGTATAAGACAAACTACAGCAGATACACATTTTACCACTTTTACCACATCAGCTGATTTACCCCTCACTGGAAGTTCGTGAGAGGCGCATTGGAAAGGATTCATTTCCCTCTTTTGGATGTGAGATGGATAAGATAAGAAGAGGTAGAACACAGTTTTAATTTCGAGAAAAGGAAAAAAAAATGTCGAACAAGAGTTTTAATTTCAAAATTTTCCTGTTGGTCATTTGCTTTTTATTTTTGCTTAAGCAGGAAGTATTTCACTTCATTATAGAGTTCCAATATTGTACTAGAAATAATTCTCAAAATCATCATAGGATTTATTTATGTCGCTTTTATTAGAGGAAATGTTGTTCTAAAAGCTAATTCCAAGCCCCAAATAAACGGGTATAGATAACAACAAAGGCAACAATCATCCAACCCTCCCCTAAACACACACAGTACAAGATTTTCTAATAGCAAGAGTTAGGATGGCAATGGGACGGACCGTTTAAAATATCTATCCCTATTTTTGTTTTAAAGTCGTTTATTCAACGGGGTGGGCGAGTTTTGTAAAATATTTTCGTAATTATAATACGAATTTAACAAAAGTAAATAATAAAATAATTTTTCAACTATAATAATATATATTTTTTTCTCTTATGCCGATAAAACTAAGATTCAATTTCTCAATTGAAATTAAGACTAAAATTATTGTTAGAAATATAAAATTTCTCAAATAAGAATAATACAAGAGAATATTTAGTAATTGAAATTAGGGGTGGCAAAAATCTCCAACCCGGTGGGGAACCGCCCCGCCCCGCCCCATTTAAAGCGGGTTTGGAGAACCGTTTACTTAAATAGGGTGGGGATGGGGGTTAAAAAAAAAAAAAAACCGGTCGGTTGCGGGGCGGGGGCGGGGGACTAAGATCCCCGCCCCCGCAACCGCCCCCTTTAATATGTTAAATTATTAATTTACCCACCCATGTTAATATATTTACTAAAGTAACCTTCACTATATATATATATATATATATATATATATAATGGAAACCCTACACTTCATTACTTCCACTTTGCTATTGAGGCGGCACTCACACAATTCTTCTGGTTATGCCTTTTCCTCTTGACTTACTATATTCCCCTATTCAATGATGGAGATGGAGTACTTGGGATCCGCCAAATTCTCAAACTACATGAAGAACATCTATTTGATTCACAACCGAACGATGATTTAATGATCTAAAGGTGATTCCCAGAGAGATGTCTTTCCTTGGAGTCTATTAAGAGATCCAAGAACCTAGCAGCTGTGCAACTTTAAGCTCTCTCTCAAACCCATCATTGAATATATGGGTTTTGGCCTTCTGATTCTTGTAGATTTTGTAGTTTGCAATTGTAGAGAGAGAGCGAGAGAGAGGTCAAGTTCAAAGTTGAGAATGAGAATAGAGATGGGGGCGATTAGGGAGGCTGAAATATATGGGTTTTGACCTTCTGATTCTTGTAGATTTTGTAGTTTGCAGTTGCTAAGAGAGAGAGAGAGGGCAAGTTCAGAGTTGAGAACAAGAAAAGAGATGGAGGCAATTAGGGAGGTTGAAATATATGGGTTTTGACCTTCTGATTCTTGTAGATTTTGTAGTTTGCAGTTGCAGAGAGAGAGAGAGAGAGAGAGAGAGAAAGGGTAAGTTTAGAGTTGAGAACAAGAATAGAGATGGAGGCGATTGGGGAGACTGAAATATATGGGTCTTGACCTTCTGATTCTTGTAGATTTTGTAGTTTGCAGTTGCAGAGAGAGCGAGAGAGAGGGCAAGTTCAGAGCTGAATGATTTTCCCTAATCGGTTATGGGGCGGGGGCGGGGGCGGGGGCGGGGGCGGGGGCGAGGCGGGATGGGGCGGGGACGGTTATGGGAATTGGAGGGAAATAGTGAACCGGTTATGGGGCGGTTTTGGGGGTACCAAAATTAAATGGGGGCGGGGATGGGGAATGAAAAACCCGCCCCATTACCATCCCTAATTGAAATAGAATAAATTAAGATTTACTTAATATATATCTAATATTATTGAATATAAAATAAAGTATAAGGACAAAATTATAATTTATCACTATAAACGAGCCGTGGCGGGAAACATTTCCCCATCCCAATCCCATAACGGTACGGGTTTTCAATCCTAACTCCCATCGCCATCCCTGCCCCCAAAATCATTTAACCCTCTCCATAGTCATTCTAAGCGGGGCGAGACGGGTACCCGACAGTATGGGGGTATTTTGCCATCTTTAGGCCAGAGGCTGTTCCAATCATTCCACAAACAAACTAATAAACAAGTTTCCATAAAAATAAAAATTAAAATTAAAAAAACAAAAACCTAAAAGAAATAAATAAAAGATATTGCTTAGGTAATCAACAATCTCGTAGTTGCCCTAAACTGAGGTAAAATTGGAATTTTCATTTTGAAGGAACATAGTAACATCAAAACCACGTTATAATGAATAATCAAGTGTAAAACAGAACATGAAGTTAGTTTCTTAGGGGCACAGGGCGTAATAGTATCTTCACTCTTTTTAGAGCGATAGATGGAGGATTAAAATCTCCACCAGAGCATAGTGAGAATTGTTTGCTAATATATATATATAGTTCCATTTGATCATTCTTTATGTAAAACCCAATTCTTCAGGAACAAAAACAAAACCATTTCTCAAATTGACCCATGAAAGTTATACCATAATAGTATCATTTATAAGCTCCTATACATCGTTAAACTAATGAAAAGAAGCAAAAGAGAGAGGAAAACAAAATTTCTACTACAGAAAGAGCATGTATGTATATACAGAAAAAAAAATGAAAATATGGTTGAAGTCAAAATGTACTGCTGATGAAATGACCTTCGATGAACACATCTTTCCATTAGCCGTAATTGCTAATCTAGAAATAAAAGCTAACAACAGCCACCGAACATCTTTCCTTAGTTTTCATGTCAATTGTAGTATTACTCTTCAATAACCAGATAGGAAACCGACAGAAATGTAGAAGCTAATCCGAGAGCAGAAAGAAGTGCAATGCTCGCATCAGGAGCACGAGTGAGTGGATAAATTTGCAGGAGCAACCACACAACTTATGGAACAGATGGTTTGGAGGCATCTGGTAACTCCTTTGCACTCCTTACAACCAAATCATAGTTGATAGAAGCCAGTTGAGGCAAGTTCTAAAAATAAAAAATAATAAAAATAAATAAATAAATTCCATGATCAGATTGCAATCTTTAAAATGGTAAGTTACATGTTAGAGACATATGGAAATGAAATCTTTCCACTGTCATCCATTTTCACAGTACATTTTGATGGATGGATGGATTTGCATTGAGAAAAATTGAGCTTAAATAATGTTCCATTTGGATTATGGAATTTAAAATAAATGAATTTGAGCTCAATTATTTAAGGACAACAATTTAAAATTTCATCAAATAATTGAACCAAGACCCATTCATCTTAAATTCTTCCTTCCAAACGGAGCCTCATGCTTAAAACTAATTTTTTAAGATAATTCATTCATTCACACCAGTAATTCCTCTCCATCCAAAAAAAGAAGATATAAACAAGTGAAAGGATTTCTTGTAACTAGTGTAACCTCCAAGTGTAACAGCAAATATCTAGTTTTTTCAAGTCTTACCTTAAATGAGAAATTACTAAAGCACTTCACGTCAAGGACTGGGCCACTGAACTCCGCCAAATTACCGCATTCATCCCCCTGCTTCCAAGACACAATGGTTAGTACAGCAATACATCCACAGGACTGTAAGTTTATCCAATATGATTTAAATACAAAAAAGAAAAAAGGTTTTTGGATTATTATCAGCTTTGTTCGCTTTAGATCCAAATCAGTAGTAACCTAGGCACCATGTCCACAGTCTTTGATAAGATTCAGGTGCCACTTAAACCTTCATACTTGTGTATAATAGTCTAGTTGATTTAAGGAAAAAAATCAAATCAATTCAATTCATCCATATGCAATTGGTTTTAAAAGCAACCAGTCAGAAAGCTAAATTTTCTACGCAAATTACTCAAATCATTTCAAATTTGGATCATGATCTGTTACATTTCGACATCATGCCTACAGACATCCACATATTATTGTAATGCATACTTACATCTTCATCCAGTATATTGCTACATGAACCACTGCTGCAAGAGCCACTGCCTGTTTCGGTCATGTCTTCAAAGTCACTACCTCCGGCTACATGTTCATCTTCTGGATTCCAAATATAACGGCTCATAAAATAACTAGTGTCGAGTGCTTCAGCTGAAGGTATGAACAGAGCCTACAGACAATGAGGGAACTTTTGTGAGTTCTGCAAATTCGGCTGCAATTAGAGAAATTAAAATAAAATTCATATGAAATTACCTTTTGCCTTGCAAGTGTGTTCCAGTTCATATCCTTGAAAAAAGGATGTTGCTTTACCTGCCAAAAATTATTTATAACTCTGCTTAATTCTTTTCTCATGATTATTTGAAATTAGCTATTCACTAAAGACACAAAACTGTGTACCTCTCTAGCCCCTGTTGCACCTAATCTTTGAACTGGATTTTCAATTAGCAACCTGAAATGAAGCAATACCTAATGAGATGAAGACAGGCACTACCTCTTTATATTCAAGGACCGGAATGAGTAGTAGCAAAACAGATATTGATGTGGTTGGCAGTTTTTGGTTGTTACAGGTAAACAATGATCTTGCCTTATAAAGTTGGAAGTTGTCATCTAGACCATGTTACCAGTACACAATTTGAGGGAGAATATATGCAATTTTATATCTTAATGAGATCAAAAGACATCACAAATGATCGGCTTTAGTTGACCTAATGAAAATGTTATCTGGAAAATAGTAATTGTAACACACCAGCAAAGCAAATGGGAATATGAAAATTCACTTTGGTAAATATTGCTCTCCCAAAGCTAGGGCTCGAACCTGCAGGATTTTGGTGGGATTGAAACCCTAACTCAAATCTTATGCAGAGCTTCAGCTAGCAGCAATTCTTGTACAGATCTTCAGCGCCAGCGACTTCCCCAAACCAGACCTCCAGCAATCTTCATCCTCATCTCTGCTTTACTAATACACTTATAAAACTGCCTATTTACTTGAGGTAATGTACACAATCAGGGCATATCCATAGAGGTTATTTACAAATCAGTATATAGCATTGCTCATTTACATAGACTGTAATTGAATTTATTGCTGAATATTTTTTTATATTTTTATATTGTCATATATACATTGTTGCATAGTTTCTAATTTTTATTGCTTAATACATACATATAATTTTTACATTGTCTTGTACATATTGCTGATTGCATTATTGATTATTATTACTGTTATTGAAGTAGTGGTTTCCTTGGTTGTGTGCATTTGTGAAACTGTTTTTCCTATTACCGTTAATCATAGGAATGAGGTAGGTATAGTGCTATACCAATATATAGGATGTAATGTTGTAGAAATTAGAAGACAATGAGCATTGAATGAGAATGCAAAAAGGATATTTTGGGAAACACTAGACGTAAATACAAAGTATACCAAGCCATGAAAGTATATTTATTGGTGGTGATTTTAATGGTTATGTAGTAGTTGAGAGAATAGGATATACATTAACCCATGCAGGATATGGTTTTGGGGTAAGAAATGAAAAAGGAGAAACACTTTTCAATTTTGCAAAATCATATGATTTAACTATAGTAAATACAATTTTTTTGATAAAAAAATAAAATAAAATAATGAAAACATTTCAAAGTGGTACAAATAAAACACGAATTAACTATAACATATATTAGTAGAAATACAATATAGAAGGAAAATGAGAGAATTGTGTAAAGGCTTGAATGAGATAATCACTCATTCACAACTCTAGTATTTATAGATAAAAAAGAGCACATGCTCATTTTACAAGAAAGGAAATCAAATCAAATCTAAATCAAAGAAAGGAAATCAAATCAAATCTAAAGTAGATCACAAAATATTCTATGGCATATTCTATAGCATAATCAGATCTATACTAATACGGTAAGTCATTCTATAAATCGTGACTATCCTATTTGCTAACACTCCCCCTCAAGTTGGTGCGTGGCTATCTGCGATGCCCAACTTGGACAATGCATCTTCAAACACGGTCTTGCTAGCACCCTTCTTCAGAATCTACAAGTTGCAGAGTCCAAATCTGACTAGCAATGATTTTCTCTCAAATGAAGTGCCGATCAATAAATCAAAAATGCCTCCTCAAACCGTAAACAACCAATCATACCTCCTCAGGCCATAAACAACTAGCAATGTCTCCTCAGACCATTTTCCTTCATACACATGTTTAAAACATGTAGATGGAAGAATCAACAATGTCTCCTGAGACCATTCCACTTCATACATATGTTTAAACAAAGTAAATGAAAGAATCAACAATGTCTCCTCAGACCAAAAAAAAGAAACAACTATGTCTCCTCAGACCATTTCTGAATAAGTGGTGTCAAACTCGCAACACCCTCATTGAGGTCAGATCACACTGCGTACCCGACACCTCTCGGATGGGTGATCTCACCTTAAACCATTCCCGAATGGGTGGTGCCGAACTCGCAATGCCCCCATTGTAGTCGGACCACCCTGGCTCTAATACAAAGTAAAAATACAATATAGAAGGAAAATGAGAGAATTGTGTAAAAGCTTGAATGAGATAATCACTCATTCATAACTCTAGTATTTATAGATAAAAAATAGCACATGCTCATATTACAAGAAAGGAAATAAAATCAAATCTAAATCAAATCACAAAATATTCTATGGCATATTCTATAGCATAATCAGATCTATACTAATACAGTAAGTCATTCTATAAATCGTGGCTATCATACTTGCTAATAATATTGAAGAGGGGAATGGAACTCACGTAACCAACACAAGCAATTAAAATTAGACTTGCCAATCAAAGGACTTGAAATTGAAAAGCAATAAGAGGCCAACAAACCATAAAGGGGAGAGAATTGAAAGGAGATAAAATGATGGCATATAGAAAGCAGCTAGTACAAGAGAAGCAATGGATTTGGAATGAAAATATAAATAATTTAGTATTGAGTAAGCAAGTTTTGATAACTCACTCTCATAAAGGGCGATTTCTAGAGTTCTAATACCTGCACTACGGTTTCGCGTGTAAGACAGCGTTCTTCTTGCATGGAGGAAGGTCAAACCTCCTCCTTGCCGACAAGGCTTTCTCCTTCCTGTACCCAGTCTACTCCGCGAATACCATGGAGAAATTTTTTCACTTCTGCATCGAAAAACTGAATGGTGAACCTTTCTTTTCTTCCTGATTGTAAGAATCTAAAGACGGTGCATATTGATGATGAAGACGTACAAGAGAAGATCGATTAGAGAACGTCTGTTGTTGGCTATGTGATGGGGAAGAAACCCTATTTTACTTTCCTCAAATCTTTCATCAATAAAAGATGGGGTTCGTCTATCAAGGTGGTCCAATTAAAAGATGGATTCTTCCAAGCCAGGTTTAATACTCTAGAGGACATGGATCTGGTGCTATAGAGAGTCCACACCTTTGAGGGGCGACCGATTATTCTCAAGAAATGGAAAAAAAATGTTCATTTAGAGAGAGATATGCTAGAATCGGTTCCAACATGGATGAAATTACATGGACTGCCAATACTTGTGAGAAGTAACATGGTGATTTCCAAGATCTGTTCTTATTCTCAAAGCCTCTACATATGGATAAAGCTTCTATGAACAGAGACAGAAGTATGCTTGTTATGGTTGAACTTGATGTTCATGGAGAGTATACAGATGAAGTGACAGCCTTTATCCATGGAGAAGAATGCAAGGTAGAGGTGGAATATGATTGGAAGCCGCAAGTATGCTCTCTCTGTAAAAGGGTGGATCATCTTGTGGACAAATGTCCACAACAATACAAACAAGCCAAGAATGTGAAGAAAACCACTGAAAAGTGGGTGATTAAGGAGGAGGGTAGATTAACTGAAGTTGATGAAGATACTGTGAGGCTGTCAAGGCTCCAGAAGCTGTTATGACTACCTCTCCAGTGGTTGAGGCGACCAATCCTTTTGATGTGTTACAACAAAACAATGAGGATATGGGAGCAGTTTCTGCAGCAGAAGAGGATGATGGGACAGACTCTTCAAGGATGAATTGTGGTTTTGAAAATCGTGTTAGTGAAGGAAGAGTATCTCTTGCCATTGATGGGGATTGTGTTACTGTGCAAAATGTACCTGAGCAAAATGCTGAGCTTGCAGAGTCAGGTGACAAAGAATTAATAAGCCAAGGGGGAAATGATAATGTAGGTGTTGCTGGATATTTGGAGGGTGAAATTGATGTGGATGTAGAGCAGATAGCTTCTATGGGTAATAAACAGCTTCACTCAAAGCTCAGGTGACGAAGAAGAAAGGCAAAGGGCAAGTGAAAGGAGCAACTTCTGGTAGAGTGACTAGAGGAATGGTAGCAGGTGGGGCAATCCCACCATCTCAGCTTTCTCAATGATTGGGAGCTGGAATGTAAGAGGCCTGAATAGGCCTAGAATGCAGACGGCTGTGAGTAAATGGATTAAAGATCATAACCTATGGATAGCCTATTTAGTTGAAACCAGAGTTCAAGTTCATAAATTTGATAGACTTACTAAGAAGTTGGGTAGAACTGGAAGTGGTTTGCAAATTATCAATCTCATCATGGTGGAAAGATTTGGATTGGATGGGATCCCTCTAAAGTTCATTTAAATGTGCTCAAGGAAGATGTTCAATCTACCTTGTCTGAAGTCAGAATTCTGCCGTCACAAAAGTACTTCTTCTTGACATATGTCTAGGCAGCTAATACTGTCAGAGAAAGGAAGCAATTATGGGAGAATTTACACTATCATGGCAGTGTGGTCTGCCCATGGCTGGCTATGGGGGATTGGAATGTGGTGAGATTTCATGGGGATAAGATAGGTGGATTGAAGATGCCTCACAGAATCATTGATGAATTTAACTCTACTATTAAATGTTGTGGGATTAGATTACTTGCCTATCGGTAATGGGGAGTGGACATGGTCAAACAGTCAGTTTAATACGAAGAGGATATGTGAAAAGTTGGACAGAGGGCCGTGCAATGCTCAATGGATCCAAGTTTTTAGAAACTATAAACTATTTCTTTCTATTCCAACCTTTTCTGATCACTATGCGATGGTGGTTCAGTATGATACCTTTTGTAGTATGGGAGCTAAACCTTTTAAATTCTTCAAAATTTGGTGCTTAGACCTAGAGGTGGAGCAGTTGGTGATGTCAATCTGGCAAGAGCATACTTTTGGCAACCCTATTCATAGATTTATGAAGAAGCTCAGACTAGTGAAGGAGAAAATCAAAGAGTAAAAGAATAAGGGCTCTATATTTGATCAGTTGGGGAAGGCATCTAAAAAGCTGGAGGAACTACAGATGACTTTGGGCCCAAAAGTCCAGTGTGCAGTGGCTCTCTGAAAATGATAAACGCTAAGTTTTTCCATCACAAAGTAAAGCAGAGAAGGGCTGTCAATTCCATCTTCAAACTTGAAGATGAGAAGGGGTCTTCAGATCAAGAAG